GCGCGTATATCGTCAGCGCGATTATTTCACTTTCGGAGCAGAAAAAAGAGCTTTCCCCGATCGCATCGCGCGATGCGATCTTGCACAGGGGAAGGGCCTTCCCGCTCGGCTCGGCGCGATAGGTGCGCGCGCGTAGCTTGCAAGGGCGGACTACCGGTTTAATGGGGCGCGGATGTGCGTTCGTAGGGGTGTCGCATTCACCGGGGTGATCGATCACGGGTTATCCACCCTTAGTCTGTTATAATGCACCACACACGGTATACACGCGTAGGTACCTAGCCGTCTTCCTCGCAGTGCCTTGCGATGCCCGGCGGCTTTCCTTTCGGCCTTTGAGCGAGCTCGACGATAAATTGCATAGTTCAGTATTAATACAGCGATAATCGAATCTGAATAGTTGAATCTGGCGGCATATATTAATCCGACCGCTACCTGACTGCTATCTCTGCCAAATTTTGAATTTCTTTCAACAGATATACTTTTGCATACATATTTTGTGGAGTTAATCGTGCATTTTTTATAGAGGCTTATCAAATTAATAGTCCGTATCTCGTTTAGGTGGATATAATATACATATATACTTAATTCTTAATTAATTAATTGGTATTTGACATTCGCGATTAATAACCGAATCAATCGACTAACAAGATTTCCGTAATTTTTCTTTATTTTTATTTACATGTAAAGCGGCTTTTTTGGTTAAGCCGTAACATAAATTTTTACTTTTCTCGGAAAGATACGAACCGTCTATTCGTACAATTTGCATGATATCCGCGAGCGATCGACGGAGGAACTTTGTGTGAATCATGCGCCGTGACGGATAAGACATTCGTTACTGCGTAGTTCTAAGCGGATCGTTGGTTTACTAACAGATCCCTTTTTCTCACGACCGGTTATTCCGAGTCGTACGAGTGGCGACGCTTAAGAGAACACGCGGATGCACGCGGCCGGAGTTCATTGCGTCTCTCTAAGAACTATAAACAAGCGAACCAGAGAGTGTCGCGTACACGGCGCAGTCCCATGAAAACAAGCGTCCACGCGGCCGAGAGCACCGGGGAATTCGGTAATTCGAGAGCCTTAATCGGATCGGTGTTGCGTTTCGCAGACCCGACAATAACGGTGTGGTGCGCATCTGAGACTCTCACGGCGTTATCGGGTACCTTCTGTGTTATATTAACAATATTTTTCAAAATTAGAAAAATTATGTTATCACTTTTTTGCCCAAAATATGTAAATGTACGATTGCTAGTTTTAATTATTGGATCGAAAAAAATTAAAATATATATCACTCACTCTGAAGAATTTCTCTTCCGGTAAAATCAGTTTTTGGTCTGTTATGTTGATCACGTGCGATTATTTATATACAGTCATATAATTTAATATTTTAATTTTTATTAATTGATCGCTTAGTTGTTGCCACGCATTTTGTTCATGTATTTTTATACGCTTTATTCCATTACATAAATCCCGAGATCTCCTAGTTATAAAGCACGTGGACGCAAACCTACGGAAGAGCAGTGAGGGTGGCAGCTTTCTCGGCTCCAGCGACGTTTATCGAATTTTTCGCGAGGCCACTTAGATAATTCGCAGGCAGGCAGGGGACTTACGTAAGAATCGATCATTCTCCGGCGTCACAAGGAATTTAATGGCTCGTGGCTGGTTGCGCGCACGATCGAGAGAGGGAGAAAGGTGAAAAAGAGAGATCGGAGTTTCTCTCTTGTTACTATTGATAGATATCTATACAACGTAGTCACAGGTCTCATCTCTCGAACGTGATTTATTGCAGAATAACGGGCTCGAAATGTCTCCTGCACCCTGCAGGCAAAGCGCCCTAATAATGACTCACAATTTGCTAGAAAAGCCCGCCATAAAAGTGTGCACGCATCGTGATCATGCCGTTTCTATTTCGGTTCGGCTTAAGCGTGTAACTCAAAAACTTGAAATAAGATTGATTTGTTAGGATGCATGTTTATATTGCAAACATTATGATAAGAATACGGATTTTGTGAGAGGGTTTCCGTAATATTCCATCCGAACGTTAGCTGGAATAAAATCTGAAATGATTTTTTCTCCATTTTTACACTCGAAGTCGTTTTTATATCACGAACTATATTTATGTTCGACATTTCTTTAATTTTTGATTCAACTAATACTTTTCAATATGCATATATTTCAGTGTATATTTAAATTGTAAAACTTAAACTGCTTGTGTGATTTATATTTGGCTCAACAAGAGGCTACCCTTGGTCGTTTTGTTTTCTTTAACTTTCAGCGTGTCAGAGTCAATGCTTGAATGAATAAAGAAAAACGGACCTCTTAGTTTTCGAACGGGAAATTAATGGTTATTTTGCGGAGGCTACATTTCTATAACGCATGCTTTTGTATTTATTGTTGTATCTATTGTATCTATTTGGTTCGTCTTTATTTTCTATTTTTACATCAGACACACTTTCTATTCTTCTGTTTTTATAAATGTATGAAAAATTTGGTCATTGCCTTTTCATGTCATAGTTTATTTGTAACACTTAAATTGGATGACAAATTAATTTTATGTATTTATTTTTGTGCAATTTTTTCTTGTATTTTTTTAAAATATAGATATTATGAGACGTAATTATAAAGAATTACAAGAAAAGAAATTTATTGAGTGAGATTTCTTCTATAAGAAGAAATTTCTTATCTTAATTCTTGCACGTTTTTCGTCTATTAAAATTCTTCAATGTAAATTTTTATGTCTGATGTTTGTATTCATTAGATTTATATTTTTACTTCTCCAATATTAGTTATCGCATTTGCATTCAAGATGCTCATTAAATTTACAATGACAAAATAAACAAGTTGGCTTTGAAATCTCTCAGCTCGGTATTTCGATGTAAGAAAGACGTGTCTGATGTAAATTCGGGAATCTGGGATTCATAATCCACCTCGTTGACAGTGTCCTGCCACCACATCGATCGATGGCTGCTGAACGCGGATGTGTCAATTTGCGATATTATGCGGAACGCGGCATGTAAACGCGCGCCGAGGACGACGACGGTAGACGCGCGAGGACGAGCACGGGGGCGGCAGCGACGGCGGCGGTTGCGGCGGCAAGGGGGAAAGTGCGGGATGAGAGAGTCATAAAATCGAGCGAAGTGAACGCTAGGAGGGAGACACTGAGTGATGTCGGTGACAGGCCGCCCGCCCTCCTCCTCGTCCTCCTGCAACCGCCTCCTGTCGCTATTACTCACCGAACGCCGAATACCATTCAAAGTTCGAAACCGCACGTTCGCGACCCAATTCCTACGCGGAGTCAGCTGTTCGGTTCATTCAAAGCTCGATCGCTAGCGCCGCCGGGCGCCTGGCGCGAAGCGCCGACGAAATTATGAAAAAAAAAAATGGATCGTGTATGTAGTCGTCATCGATAGTTTTATTTATTAGGTAATCTTTATAGACTTATTCTTATATAGGACGGAGGTGTTGTTAGCAGTTACTAAACGCATCTCTGCATTATCACAATTGGTACTTTTCAACAACTATTATTAGATTAATAAAAAATAGTATCGATTAATATGTAGATGTATGCACTACATACTGCATGTATGATACTCTACATGGTAAAATATAAAAGAATTTACGCGAGATAATACCTCGAATATGATAAATACTAAAATTTTGTGTTTGAATAAAATGTGAATGTCGTGCCAATTTCTATTTTACGTTTATGCGGTTTCATAAATGCGGTTTTAATGTTTACCATCTATAAAACATAATAAAAATAGGAATCTCAAACATAAATATTTCAACATAAATATGTATTAGCGTGTTTCAATGCCTAACTTCTTCTAAATCGTTAAATCGAAAGATTTTTATTCTGTGGGCTCGTAAGCACTGTCCGACGGTAAACGACAATTAAAAGAATTCGTTTCATCAAATAGGATTAGAAAAGATTAACACTTTGCACGTCGGTTAGTGTGTCTAATCCTGATAAACCAAATGTTCATTCTTCGTATGCACGTACGCGAGGCCGTAATGCAGGAAAGGATAGTGAATTGTTGAGTCAGGATTAGGTAATTCTGCAATACGGGTTGGTGTGGCTCAAGCGGCTGCTTTCGTAGAGAAACAGTGCGACGGATTCTCTCTCTGCCAACAACTACTCGCCACACTGACTGTCAGTATTATCCTGCGCTCGTGACCGTTCGAGTATCTTCGGCTCAGCTCGCCAAGCGTGCAGAAGGGGAGTAGCCGAAAGCACAATATCAAAATGTGCGTTAGTTGTCCTGCGAGAGCGTTGATTGCCGACGGTACAATCTCTACATGAAATGCCTCAGTCAATACCCGTATCAATATCCATGTCAATTGTATTTACAGTCGATGAAACTCTCTCTCACATACTTTTATATCTTATCATTATACCACTTTACAATAATATAACGCTGAGATTGCTGTTAGGTTTTAATGAAAATATTAATTAGATTTTCTCAAATACACAATGAAATACTATCGAAACAACATGCTGTTATTCGTGTGAAATCTCTCGGAGAAATATCGTTTCTCCAGTAGCAAAAAATTCTACAATAACTATAGGCTCGTATATTTCCCTATTTCAGTTTCTTAGGACAATCTTGAGAGACGAATGCGAGGGAAACGCCTCGGTTGGCCGCGCGCGAGCGTGGAATTGGAGCGACGGAATTGGCCGCGGAATCTGCCGGTCCGCGTATCTCGGTATATTTCGCGAGCGATGTTCCGTCCTCTCGTATCGTCCTAACCACGGTCTCGTCGTCGTCAGCCTCGCCGCCACCGTCGTCGTCGTCGTCGTCGCCGTCCGTCGGCGGTCTCGTTGGTAGTGGTGTAGCGATGGCGGAGGATCCCGTAGTTCGCAGAATTGTCGTTGAAGCGCTGATTCTGTGCGCGTTCTCGCCCGGTTCCGATGGGCGGGCTCAGGGGGCACATTGGCCGCTCACGGTAGGCGTGCCGGAGCGTCTCCCACTCTGCGGCGGAGCGCGGCGCTGATTGACAGTTGGCGAACGACTGCGGACGGCGCAGGATCTAAAACCGCGCTAGGCGCTGCTCTCCACGCTCGCTCGCTCCGCTCTTCTCTACCCGTGCGATCTACACCCGGTTGCTTTTTCGTGGGGGAAACCTGAAACACGCATATCCCCGTGGCTGCCTACGACCGCGCGCCCGCCGCTACGTGTAACACACTACGAACCTACTACCTTCTGTCCGCCGGAGTTACGAGTGCCACACGCAGTAGTAGTCACGGTCAGGGAGGAGGGTCGCCCGCCGTTTCGCGGACATCTCTCGCTCGTGCGGTCTCCTCTCTCGACTCGCGTCCGTACTGTCTTACAGTGTGAGATACCGTCGTGAATAGTAAACGCGTCGCATCGTCGTCGTCGTCGTCGTCGTCGTTATCGCGTCGTTATCCGTCGTGTCGTCGCGTCCACGCGTTTCTCTCATACTTGCTCCCGTCGTAACGTCGCGCGCGCGATATTGCTCCGAAAACCAGCACGGCCGGTGTTACAATCAGTGCGCAACGTACAGGCGGCAACCTCGGATATACGTATCACGGGACAGTGTATTGTCGTGGCAACGCTGTCGCCGCACTGTGTGCGTCACGCGCGTCTTCGGAGCTCACGCGTCTGCTTTCTCGTAAATGCGGAATACCCGTGCGAGCATAAACGTCGGTTGACTGTGTCGCGGCGGTGATTAGTGCTCGTAATCGTGACGCCCGTCGCCGTCATCCGTCGTCTTCGTCGTCGGGCGTCATCGTGGCTGATATCGTGTTGAGGTGCTGTTAACTGGAGGATGTAAACGTGTTCTATCAGTGACATCGGTGTTCATCGACTGTTGGTGTGCGAAACAGTGAATCGAAACCGGGACGTCCTGACGCGTTGCATCGTGATCGAATGTGAGAACATCGCCAGTGGACAGAACGATTCCGCTTGTGCTACTCGCAGCGGACACCCGAACGGAATATCTCCATGTGGCGCATTCGACTGGCAAGCCACGCGATTATTTCGCGGGCAAACGCGCTCTAAGTATACTTCCGTCATCGAAGAAAGCTTGTCATTGCTCATCGATATTGTTTATTTGGAAGACAGACGTATGCGACAACACCACGTGCCCGCGCGTAACGGGCGACCGCTTATACGGGATTGATGAGAGGCGCTTTGACATTAAGCTAGTGTCTCCGAACGGTGATACGACAATGATGAAGAAGCACGTGCATCCGGTCGTCGTAGCCGTCGCTCCGGTTTTACCGCAAGCAATACCCGCCGCCGAGCTGTGCTGACGCTCATCTGAGATTATCCGAATTCACCGTCGGCTATCGTCTCGTTTCGAGCGACGCCGTTAATTTAATTCTCTCGAAATACAGAGAAGAGAAAGACAACAGGGAGAAGAAGAAGGTGACGACGGCGTGGAACTCATCGGAAGAGAGAAAGAGAGTAGCGGAGTGGAACAGCCGTCGGAACACGATCGTCGAATGCAAGTAATACCGAAGTGTGCGAGTGACGGCGCATCCCAGCAACTGCTTCGAAAACAAGAAAAAGAAAAAGAAGTTTATCTCGCAGCTTGCCGTCGGCCACCGACGGAATCCGGATTTCGACTCTGATCGCTCGTCTCTTTCCGTCGGACGACTTCGCTATCTTCGCTACCGCGAAATCCCAACGTCACGCAGCGCGTCGGAGCGTTTGCTTAGCGCGCTATAAACAGTGCCGAGGAAGTGTGGTGAAGTGTGCTTACATTGTGGGAAAATACAGCCGCTACGGTGGCTCAGCACGCAGAGTTCCCCGGCGCGGCCAGGGCGTTCATGGCGCAGCCAAGGGTACGTTTCATACTTGCACTTGCATGTTCCTCTTCCTCCCTCGGGATGTTAGGTGAATAATCGATAGGCCGTCGGGAAGCTAGTAAAATCGTAGCCGAAGTGATCTAGCTCTGATTTAGATTTCCGAATATGTGAATCGCGAGAAAAAAACCCCCTGTGATCTTTCTTAGAAAGCGTCGTGATTGTGCCATTAACTCGCCATTCTCTCGCGTGTGCTTTGAAGCAACTCCCGATATTTCGGAGCGTGGAACCGTCGGATATTCGTGGACGTCTGCGAGTGCTTCAAAAGTGCCTAAATCCAAATTTTACGAGAGCCGAATTCTAAAGTGAAATGCCATCACTCGTAGTAAAGTTACGACTTTTTTTTAAATCTTGCATTTTGACGATAAATAGAAGTGACAAGGAGGGGGAACATTTTCATTACACGAGAGTGATTGAGTGTCCGTCGGAGATCGAATTTTCGTGAATACTGCCATACTGAATGATCTCATTTCCGAAGCGACTCCGGAGAGTCATCGCGGCTGAATTTGTAAAACAGTGTTCCTTTCTTTCTCTCTGTATCGCTGACTCGATGAAAGAGGCGGCGAGTTTCGTCTTAGGCGCGCGCGGCTCCGCAGCTGGTGAATTTGAATTGAATATCGTCACCGTGTCGAAAGGGAATTTACATGTCGGCCGCCTCGGCGCTTTGTAACGCCGTTTACAACGCGTTGCGGCGGCCGAGGAAAGAGGACGACAGTCGCACAAAGGGGCTGCTTTCGGGCTTGCCGAGAGCGAGCTTCTTACTCGCGCGCGAAATTCGGTCGATTCGCGCGCGCTAGTGTCATCGCCGATTAATGGATACGAGAGAATGAGAGAGATGAAGAGAGAGTATGTCGAAATCGCCGCGAGTCTTGCGGGCCTGTTTCGTGTTTACATGCCGATTACACACATCGCAATCGGACGACTTTGACCGCGGCGTAATTATGACCGATAATCATAACACAACACCGGGGAGTAAATTTCCTCTGTTGCCTCGATTGCGAGTTGCGACAACATTTCATATTCGACCGCTGACTTCGTACGGAATTAAAAGGATTCGAACAGGGATCGCCTAATGTGCCGAGGTTATTTTAAAATCAGTCGCGAGAAATTGTCATCGATTTCATATATGCTTATAATAGTATTCGCTTCTTATTGAATATTTATTTCGGCGTTCGCGCTATTGTCCCCGACTATTATCTCTAACACGTTTCGAATCTGTATGCGTTAGGGCGGAAAGTATTGTGTCAGATTTCAGAAGCAGAGCAGAGTGTAGCTTTTATTCAGTCAAGTCGCAATGACAAACGCGTATGACATTGCGAACGCTTAATTAAAACAAGCGGCGAGTTGATACTCCGTTGTGGCTCTCAATAATGAAAGGCATTGCAATTCCGAAATATGTTTTCATTCATTGTGTCTCGTAAACATTTCTAATGTGTCAAAAGTTAGGCGCATTATCTTTTCATTATTTCGTGCTAACGTAGTGCATTACAAAATTATTCTAGTATATAATAGGTGGTTGCTCGCGATAATTCAATTAAACTTTTATTTTTCACTATATAAGCGTCGGGAGTGTCATGAACTCAAGTCGATGTTATATTGATACGTACATACAATGGTATATAAATAATAATGCAAGTTATTGATTTTTTAATCATTATGATCTTTATCAAATTTTCTTGAATTTATTGGAATTTATTTCAATTTTGTATAATTTTAAATTATTTTCAACGTCATATAACGACATTGAAAATTTCAATATTTTAATATTGTCGATATCATTTTTTAATTCAAACTTCTAAATTAAAATCTATTATATTGCAAATTTAATATATGACGACAAATTTCTCAGGTAGTTCTGTGCTCTAAAATTTTCCATTTTGTAAATAAAACTTGTCGACGTCCTGATTATCTTCTTCGCGCGATTCGCCGACGGATGACAGAGTCCAGTTGGAAAATGCCAACACAGGATCGCGCGTGAAGTAACGATTATGAGCAAGTGATTTATCGAAGCTTTATTCGTCTCGATAAGACGATTTTGATGGAAACATTCCGTCGTTTCAGATTTTATGTTCGCAGTCGATTTGGGGATACTTCTTTTCGAGGAATTAATTAGGCTTCGTGTCACTTGTGGTTTCTTATTCACGCGACGGACAAATGTGGCGAATTGCCGGGCAATTGCCGGTCTCCTCTGAAATCTCCGCCTCGTGACAGCCTTTTATCCGTTTATGTGGAATCTGCCAAAAAATCATCTGCGTGGAATCGCGCGCGTTCAAATTGAAGGTGCGGTTTAACATATTTAACGTTTGACTAATGCAAAATAATATAAATCGTTAATTTTTTACATATAAGTAAATTTTTAACATAAATAATTCAGGTTTTATTAGTGTTATGTTGCAATGTTAACATTCAGTTTAAAAACTTATTAATACATTACAAAAATATGAAAAAAATTCACAAGATATAGTAATATATAATATTATATAATATTATATACTACTATATCTTGTGAATTATACATTATTGTGCGTATAAATTTGGTTATTTAAACGTTTACTTGCGTATAATTTGTTTATCGATTGATTGATTGCGTGATACGTTACTGGCCGTCGGATATGTGTGACATGTTTCTTATTTGACATGTATCTGAGCTTCGCTCTTAAATAATTAAATAATTACATAAATCTAATTATTTCAATGCTAAAATAATGTGCAAGATAAAAATAATTTTTATTTCATCTTTTAAATAATATGACATGTTAGTAAATGAATGTCTTATTTTTTTATATTGTATGGAGCAGATGATAAATTACATTTTCAAAACAGATTTCTACAACTTAAAACAGGTTCCAAGAAAAGAAATATTAATACTCGAATGTTTAAAAAAAAAGAAAAAAAAAAACTTTTTATAATAGAACATGATATTTTTTGAATAAATATTTGAAATATTTGACTTGTTTTAAAAAATTGCATCTCTTTGAGTTACGTCTGACTTGTTTTGTCGAAATATTCGATTCACCGGATTAATATTTATCCCGTCGCGTATGCAAATGCGAGATACTTGGTGGCTCGTTCTGCGCGAAGCGAAAGACTAGAGGGATTAAATTCGACGCTGACATTTCTCGATCGTCCAATATGCGGCGCTAAACAGGCAGTATTGATTTCGATAACTGACTTCGTGCGAAAGCAAACGCTCCACGCATGCCGATAACTGCTCGCGTGTTTACGCGTTTCGCGTGTGTGTCATCGCGATGCGCGAAGCTCGTAACGAGAAGTGACGAAAGCAATCTCTTTTTTTCTCTTCTCTAATCTGACGAGATGTCTCGGCAAAATTGCTTCGTATGTTTTTGCATGATGCTTTCGTATATCGCCGGTTTTTCTTTACTATTATACAATTGTGCAAAGATTAACATCGATAATTCTCGCTGCTTCATTTTTTGTACTAGAAATACGGGAAAAAAATGTATCTCACGCCGACTGTCACGTTTTCGTTACCAAGAATAAATAATCGAAATCGTTCCGTCTTCAAGGTGTTAATTGCGTTTTGTGGCGTAAATAGTTCCAAGTAAGCCGGATATAATGAGTATCGATGATTTCGAGCAAATAACATGTTTGCGTTCGGTAGCGGCATCTCAATCACAGCCAGATCGTGCAGAACGACCGAGCGCGCGCGTTTTACCGCTCAATTCCGCTTCGTCCTGCCCGTTCGGTGCCGGTTGTGCTCGCAAAATTGCCGAAACGTGCGTGCGTGCATGCGTGCTCGCTCAATGCGGTGAGTCGCGAAACCCTTTTTCGCGTGCAGCGCCGAGAATTCTTCACGACGCGGATCGCAGAAGCAATGTCTACGGCAAAACGTGGTTTTTAACTCATGAATTTTTTTCATCAGTAGCTTTGCACGGAGATTGAGAAATATCGATGAAACATGATGAATACTAGACACGCGCAACTGTCGGAGAATTGCCTCTCTGAAAACTTTTAATCTGCCCCTGAATATCACGATATTAATACGAATGGTCGTAAATGTGATAAGCATCAAATTTATTCGGGATTACTAGCAGTTTTACTGATTTTTAATTTTGTTTACTCTGAGCGTTATATCTAGATTGTTCCATTAATATATATTTTAATGAGCGAGGTTACGCTGATTGTGAGAAATATGATATGTTCCGAATTCTAGGTATTTTTATACTTTTTATTGCTTGAAATATCACTTGTAAAGCCTTTTGCAATTTTGATCTGTTCTACAAACATTTCAAAATGTAAAAATATCTATGTATCACGAGTCTCCTTCTAAAATCAGATTTTTAAAAGATTATTATCTTTTACATGTGTTCTAAGCCTGTTATTTATTTCTATACAGTTTTATATTATTTTGTATTTGTTCTTTCGCGTTCCGGTAATTAGAGCTAAGAAACATAAAGGATAAGAAGGGGTAAGGATTCGTTTTGTGTTAGCGATGCGTATATTTCGGTGAGGAAATCCGTGTAATGCGATAGCGCGGATTAAAAATTCTGGCCTGGCAGACGGCTCTTCTTTGACAATGAAGTGTACCCGATTTTTCGTCGTCCGTCGGCGCTGTACCGCCGCCGAATGAGCCGTGATTATGTATTTATGGGTATCCATCAATCACTTTCGCTCTCCCGATTGCCGCGGATATCGGCCTTTAGCCTACGGATTAAAGTCGTATCGATTTCTCGCCGTTCTCCATTAGCTGTGCGCGGCGCGTCGCCGCCGTTTTTTCCTTTTTCGTCTGGACAGTCGTTAGGCATATTCATGCGCGAGATAAATGGGCCTAACTCGGCTCGGTGCCTGCGATTTAGAGCCGCGCGGCGGGCGCCGTTCCATACGCGCCTAATTCTGTTTTCCAAAAATATGTCCGTGACAATTCAGCAGTTGCATCGCTGCTGCGATCAAACGTTACCATAAACTTGCCGTCAGACGGATCTCGAATGCGTGAAATAACTCGAGTCAGTGGATCAAAAATCATATCGTTGGTTTTATCTGAGTGTAATCCTGTGCTAAGCTTCACAGGTACAACATTGTCATCTTTGTAAAGGATGTAAAACTTAAACCTGTTAACTTGTGACAGAAAAATAGATATACATGACGATTTGTTGAAAAAAATTAATATATTTTGACAGGTTGAAAAAAACGGAAGTAAACTGTATCATAAAATGACGTTTAATATAATCGCGATTGAAAATAAACTGTTGTTTGTTATAGCGTGGTTATTTAAGGGCAATTCAAAGTTTTATGCTATCGTAATTTTTATCGTTAGGTTTTCTATTTTAAAATGATGAAGCAAACGATATGAAAGATAGCACGATGCTGTCTTATGATAACTTTATCTGATTTTATATAAAGTACTTGAGATAATTGAATTTCAAACGAACTAATTACCGTCGTGTGTGGTAATTATACTTTGTGTAGCTGTAGTACGCTTTTTATATAGCTATGAAATGGAAAGAAGGAAATGTTAAATGTTTCAGAATCTCGTTCGAAATAAAAAAAAGCTAAAATTCATGGAAAAAATGTTTTTTTTAATAAGTAAAATTGATATTACGATGTTTCCAATTCCAAATACTAATATTGATTGTAACGAAATAAATACTAATCGGTATATATTTCTCTCTTTTTTTTTTAAATATGTTGACCAATTTCGATATTGATAATGAAAGCATTCTTAAATAGTTCAATATCAGTAATCAGTGCACATCGGCGGAAGTTTTATGAATTGTATATCGTCATTTAGCGCGTTAAATAATAATCAATCTATCTCGATTATATTTGATGCCAGGCGGTTCTCCCCCCCCCTGCCCCCTTGGTGAATGAGTTTTATTTTTATGTCGACACTAAATGTCAAATGAAAATTTCGATGCAAAAGTTTGTTTCGAAATAAAACATTATGGCTGACATGGAGAGCTCGCGAACATGCTTGCCGATTTCGAAGTGAGTTTGCTTCGTTAAACGCCATCGAGTCTGGCTTTTTCTTCTGCGAAATCTTGGCGCTATCGCCGTGTTCTGTCGAGTTGTTAAAGAGTATATAATTTAAATAAAATCAAGGATAATATGTCTAGAAAAATAACGAAAAATTATTTCTCGGAATTTTATCGAAGTGATGACAATTCTGACGGTATCGAAACGAATTTTATTTTCTCTGGAAATCTTTTCAGCGAAATTTTTCGCATTACACCGTTCTCGCGAGAGATTAATAGCCGGGTGAGACGCCTCCGATATTTCTTCGCGCGATACGTTTTATACGATTTTAAAATTGATTTCGACGCCGGCTGCGCGGTGCAACGAAGATAGAGGCGGAATGGAAAAGCGAAAAGAGAAATGAAAAAGAGAAAGAGAGGATGAGGGAGAGAGAGAGGCGGAGGACCAATGCTGTCGGGTTATTGGTGTTTACCTCGTCGGCTCGCAAAATTCGCCGACGGCGGCACCTCCATCACTCGGCAATTTTCTGAATCCTCGCGGTGATCCGCCGGCTTGCGATGTATTTTGCCGATTTATATTTTCAACCGGAGATAATCGCTGACAGTATCACGGAGCGAATACGCCGCATCTTGTTCTCCTTCCCTCCCCCGCCCCCTTCTTCTCCCGCTGCGTTTTTTCGCAATTTATACCGAGACGCTTAAGCGCTCGCCTTGACCTATCTACTTATAAATGGCGATCGTTTGTCAGGCTTTGCTAAATTTCCCTCGATTCTCCGGCTTGCCGAGCCGGTTGCGGCTACGCGAAATCGAAACTGCTCCGCGCGCGCTGTTTATGCAAAAACGTCATTTCCATATGTTGGAATTCTCGCGTCTTGCATTAATCCCTGTGACAGGACAAACTCGTGTATTAACCCTAGGATGCATTATTCAATTTTTGTCCGGGGTGAACATTATATTCTACATAATTCGCTACCTCAGCAACCGTATGAATTTTCATGAATGTGGCATTCGTTAGGTGGTCCATTTGACAGTTGTATATTATTTAATATAATATATGCTCGGAAAAATTAACTTAGCTGAATTTATTCAACAAGCGAGAGAAGTAGTTTACTGCGAAAAGATTATAGCCACATCTGTTCGGATTACTAAAAATCCACTCGTCGCTCCCGCCGTTTCCGGAAATATCTCGTCCACGTCAAGCCGGTCCATCATTCGTTGCGTGTAATAACGTCTCGGTGACAGCTCGACATCGTCTCGACGTCGCGCTGTAACTTCTCCGTTTCGGTCACAAATTAGCACGGGGCTGTCCGCAAATAGCGATTGTATTGTGTAGCGCGCGTGTGCTCCTGTTCTCGAACCGACTTTGTCGCGAATCTTCTTGGCGACGTTGACGTGGACCAAGACGACGACGACGAGCTCCATCGTCGGTAGATGTTCGTCGCAAGGCTCCCATGATTATGTCTAGAGACACAACCTCTCACCCCGTTTTCTACTACTACCCTTTAAGATATTCCGCTCGGTCGTTGAGTGATATCTTTATACTGTCGTGACGGTGAATTATTGTCCACTGCCTTTTTCAGTCTTTCGCGACGAGAGATGTCGCATTCTAAACGCGACACGTTCGCGCGCTACCAGAATCACTTTTACGTCGTTTTTCGCGAATTAATGGAACTTGCGTACGAGAATGAATAAAGAAACCGCACAAAATAAGAATATTCATGATAACTGAAAGGTAATTTATTTTGTGCGCTTATAAAAAAATTCACCGTAACGTTACTTATCATTTATTATCCTTGAGATTATTGAAAAAGATAATAATAATCTTTTTACAAAAAGTATTTTATATATGCATCAAATTTATCAAAATATCTTCAATCTTGAAATCAACGTTTTATTTAAATATTATTCAAGAATAATAATAAGTAAGAAATGATATAGCGCACAGGGATGTACGGTAAATACGTGAAATGTCGATGAAGATATCGGTTATATTAATTCAGCACTTTGTTCGCTTCTTCGCGATGTTTTATCGCCACGCTTATGCGATACGAAAACGAGGACGTTGCGCGCAGCTGGAAAGGACGAATTTTAACCGGCGCGCCATACTCGCATTCTGCTTCGAAGCGGATCGTTCGAGCGACTTTAATGCGTGTATCGGATTAATTCAAGCGCGATAGCAGGCGATTTGATTCACGTCGCGTAATTTTCGCAACTCCACCGCGATCTTGACATATTCGCCGCGCGAGCGTAAATCAAATTAAGCGAGAGTTACAAATTGGTATAAATATTGCTCCCGATATTTCCACAGCGTCGTGCTGCAGTAGTAGTTGCACTCGGCATACTTTTTCTCTCCGCACAAGTCGATTTCCATACACGTTAATAATTCCGTTTTGCCGCTTTTACAACAGAATCGCGCCAAAGGTGAATTAAATTAAGCAAAACGCAGATTGCAGAACACACTTTCGATATTTTTGCAGTATCACTTCGTAACGGGCACAATTGCGTTTTTCCGGATTGCATCGAGCACACATTCCCTCCTCCCGCCCGGTTGGTAACTGCGAATTCCCGCTGCTTCTTGTTTTCGCGACGGAATTACACGGCATTCCGAACTCGAAGCTAGAATTAAGCAATTAGCGATAATAATCGGCTTGCTTTCGTTTCCGCGCAAACTGCCGTGACAAGCGGGCTTGGAGGACTCGGGAAAATCATTGCTTCCGTTCTCGATCGACCGATTGATCGCGATCGATTGAGGCGAGTCTGGAGGCTTTCCATTCGTCAAGTTCCCGGTATTTTGTCCATACGCTGTGCGTTCGAATTTGTCTAGCAATTAGTACACTTTGCTTGTCATCCATCAGTTTTGCATCAGCGCGCGAACTTTATTACTAGAAATCACAAGGCCTTGCCCTTTTTTTTTGCGGTATTCTGTAAGGTCGGCGCGACTAGGCGTAATTGAATCCGCGGTTATTTATTACCGGTCGTACGGTTGTACGTAATTAATTGTCTTTCCCGCGGCGATTAAATCTTGCTTTTTTTCTCAGCAGTGATAAGGCAACGAAGAAAAAGTTGTCAATCTTGATTTTACATAAAAATTCTGAGAAGTGTTTCTGTGTTTCTGAAAATAATAATAGTAAACTAAAATTACTTTTTTTCGATAATCAGGTACTTTATTATTTTCAGCACGAGTAGAACAAAAATAATCTTTAAATATATTTCATAAATTAAAAAAAAATTTAAGAAGGAGAGTTAAAATCAACATTTGTCAATTAAAAATTATTTATAGTATAATTTTTCAAATGTAATTTTTACTAACTCGTACATAATTTGTTTCGGTTTATATATATCATTATTGATAAATAAAACTCTGAATGTGCCGATGACATGAAAACCTTTATTTTCTAAATCCGCAGACCGCAGTGACACTATATCACACTGTATCGCTGTCTTTAGAATAACGTCCTAGAATCGTTTCTATTAGTTCTACGAACTTGATGTCGCACAACTATGATTGTTAGTCTTTGTTTAAAAAAAGACATGACATTCTAGTTGTGTCCCGAGTCACCTTTTGAATGTTCTCCATCCACGTGTACGTTTCGAGTCCTTGCGTCAATCGTTACAAGCGTGCGATTCTAAATTTATGAGCCAACGCCAGAATAGACAGTGTCTATATTTAGATAGGAAAGAAACACGGATATTGTACAATATTATAAAGCAAAGTGGCAGATATTCGCGCAAAGAACATTTGTCAGCTTAGATTAATTTGCAAACGTCTAATATGCAACACTTTAATACCAAATCAGGAGTATATATATATATATGTGAAATTATCGACAAGCAACATTTTTAACGAAAATAGGTAATTGATAAGTGCATAAAGCTCGTATATATTTCAGTTTTGTGTAATTTTTATCATTTCTAATTACAGTACGATGATGGAGGGCTGCACGGGGGCTACCTCGAGGGCGGTGGCGGCGGTGGAGGCGCAGGGCTATACGATCCACACGGTAGTGCCCGCGGAGTTCCCGGTCTCCATCACAGTCCACATCTCGGAGGTATGGGTCCAGCCCACCCTCAATACCCACCGCCTCCGCCTCAGCCGCAACATGTTCTCGCAGCAGCAGCCGCGGCAGCGGCATCTGCGGTGCCCGATGTCCACAAACGCGACAAAGACGCCATATATGGGTGAGTGGAATTTTCTACATTTCGTATTATTATTCATCGGAGTGTATTGAGCGCATCGCAAAGCAGTGATGATCGGTATATTGCGCGCGATAATGAGCCGCGGTTACATAACACTTAAATGCGGCTTATCACGAAATTATGCGCACTTTCGGCTGTCACGATCCTTTAATTTTGCGCGGCGTAATTTTGTATCAGTTTGCATATAAGTGCGCACACACGATTGGGTTTAATATATAATCGCCGATTACATATGTATCGTGTTTTCACCATTACTTTACGTTTAAATTTGTGAAAAAGTATTTATAGACCGATAAGCATTCTATTTACGTGGAATATTTCGGAAAACAGGTGCGCCGGCGGGCGCACGAACTTGAAATGCACATAAATTCATCGCAACGATTTGATTTTCTAAGTCCGTCTAACCGACCTGCCTCAATTACATACTTGCGTGCGTGCTTGTAACGGACAAGTCATTGGTGAATCGCTGCAATTTATTCTGCCGCTTTAAAAAAAAGACATAGCAATTGTTAGCCAAAAAAAAAAATAAAAAAAATATTACGTAAGAAGTCAAGTTGCTAAATGACTGAAATATTGAAAAGAAAATATCAATAGTTTGCAAGTATCATTAGGGTTCTCACTTTCGAATAATATTGATGTTACATTTTGAAACGCCGTATTCAGTTTTCCGTATCATGCGCGATATCGTTTTTGCGATACATCGCAAAGTCGGACAGAATATCATTACCATATGGTTAACTCGACAGATAACCACGTTTCAACGAGTTGTCCCCGGCTTAACGATATTTTCTGTTCTTCCGCGACAATGCATTGTGCTGCTTTTACACCAAGTTTCTTCGTTAATCCTTTTCATTACATATGTGAATTTTTCGATTGACAGTAATACAAATGTACTGTCTTTTTATACATTCAGCGATTTTATATAAGAAATTTAGCCTTTTTATAAAGTGCTGAATTTTTTTTATAAGATAGTGAAGAAAACAGGCTTTTATGTAAAGTCTACAATATACATATGCAATGACTTGAATAATCAAGATGTATAGTGCTTTTTATCTTCTATATCTTATTTCTCATTGTTAACATTCCCATTATTATTTTCCTTCGCATCATCACCGCTGCAGTTATGCGGCGGAGCTCGTGCCACGCGCATCATCGTTCGTACGAGCTGAAACACGTCAATTGGTCGTTTTACGGAGCGACTTAGCGGCCGTGTTCCGCGTGATTTATAGCCGCGAGATGCCCCGATTTCTGGTATACGTCCTAGAACGGGAGCTTCATTATTCCGTGCACCCTGTAATTTGTCCATTCGTCGTGTGCCCCGGCCCGACCCGAGAAGGAGATTCCACAACTTTCTCGGAACGCCGTCGCCATGCGGACTACTCTGGAAGGAGCGCTCTCGGCGCGATTACGCACATTCTCTTACCTCTGAAAAGGCTCTGTTTTAATTTTCAATATACATTTTAGATTTGAATTCTTTTGAAGATTAACTCCAATCAGATACTATCTGATCTTTATTTCCAAAAAAGAGAAAAGAAACAAATTAGTATTGGATATTTAGTTTTATCAGTTTGATATAAGTTTTAATATGAATTCAGAATCTTTAAAAATATAGATTGTAATTTTTTCCTTCTTTACTTGGATTAATTTTGGAAATGCCTATGATATCAGCATGTTCGTCTTTCTGTTGCAATAAAAAAAGTCTAGATGCTAAAAATACTCGTGCCTATACAAAGTAATCTTGATCCGTAGAATACGTTTTTGGCAGGATCAGATTGAGTCGTTCGATAACAGAGTCTATGACCATTTTTGTCCAGATCGATTAATTCCTCTAGCAAAGCGCATGTAGCTTTCCACGTGCGAGGAAATTAATGCTACTTGCACTCGAATGTAATGAGACACAACAAATAGAAAAAAAGTCAGAAACGTTTTAAGATGTTCCATTAAGATAACTTTTAAAAAACAAGTTCTACAGATAAATATGTAAAAATAAACGCGCGAATATTTTTTAAATAACAGAAGTAATAACAGTATTTTTTAGTATGTATATATAAAATATTTTTTAGTAACAAATAAATTTTTTATGTTATGTTTTAGCAACAAATTTGTTCTGCTATATTTTTTTAAGAGTAAAATTTAAGTGATTATGTATATATTTATCTTTTAATATTTTTTTATTTGGTGATTGGTACAATATTACATATTCTGTAAGAGATGGCATCATAAACCTTTGAGCTAATAATGAAAAAGAACTTTGTATTTGATGATTTTTTTATTGACGACAATTCTTTTCTTCTGAAGTTTTACGTAAGAACCGGATGTGTGCGAAGACAAACTTCACCAATCACTGGAATCTCGGCGCCTTATGCAAGGAGTCTGATCGACTCGGTCGTTTATGGATTAGACGTTTCGTGAATCTCTTACGCAAATCCACGCGACAATTTATCGCTTGATGGATGGAAGAGTAGTATCACTCAATCATTGATCGATTAAGGAAATAATTAATAAATCACACATATTGTTTTACAAAAAAAAAGCGAACACTAGCCTTCGTTTAAGACCTGCGTTTAGATACCTGCGTTTCTAACGCGTTTACAAGGAGCTATAAAGTTTTTCGGAATATGGAAAGTTAACATTTTACCTTGACTACTACTTATAGCATTTTACGCATTTTATTATCATAAACTCTGAAAACCAGGAATGTAAAGTTTTGTATCATTGTATTGTAAAATCATTTACCTTTTGACAAAATATTTTACGAGAGATCGTAATTTATGTTTTTTTATTATATGAAGACATATATCCCTTGATTCGGTTAATAAGCATAACCAATTGATTTATAATACACCTGTAAATTGTAAGTAATCTCGCCTCTGTAGGTAGAAATTAGCCATTAGTTGGAGTGCTTTATAAACTGTGACGTTTGTAAGTGACGGCAAATTGGAGTAATTACGCTTATTTTTATCCTTGAGTCTCTCTTTACTTCAATCCTTTTTTTTCGTGTTCTACTATTTCGACTTCGATGACTCGCATTTTACGTTTGATTGTTACAGTTACTCGCGCGTCCATTATTACGATCACCGTTCGCGCATTCGCGCAAAATCGAAAAGCGTACTAGAAATTAAGGCGCTGTTAACGAAATTAAGCCGTGCACGCGAGAACGCGTTCCTGTCGTTTAACGAATCGTAAACCGCGACGCGGTGTGAAATCAACGATGCCCGCGCGCAACAATAAGAGTTGGTGGAAAGAGAGCGGGGGAGGTAAAGAGAGAGAGAGAGAGAGAGAAAGAGAGGGAAGAGGCGTCGATTCGAGGGGCGGAAACCACAAAACCGCAAACATCCCCCGTACGGCGCACAACGGCCCAATCATATCATTACCTTTTGCGGTTCCGTCATTCCGACACCTCGTTTCTGCCCATCGTTTGTCATCGACGTTGCACTTTGTTGTTACGCCGCGTCCGACCACATTTTAAAGAAACGCGCACTTAAAGCGCGCCGCACTCAATCGCGGTCCGTAACGCGCTCGGTGGTTTTCCTGACCGCGTACGAAACGGGAAACTGCACAGGTGGCATCCGATTAGTCTCGCAAGGTCTGAGAAAACGCTGAAAGAGATCGACGAGATCGCGATTTCTCCGAGTGCCGGGAATCGCGCATCCTACGCGGGAGTGAGTTTGCACTACCAAAGACGATCACTTTGCGCCGCGTAATTTTTTTTAAGTGTCTTCTAATCTCCTCGAGGACGATCTCCTCGTGAATCGCGTTAGGCCGTCTTCGTTTCTCATTAGAAGCGCAAAAGAAAGACGGAAGGGCTCTCTCGGTACTCGGTTGAGGGCGCGAAAAATCTAAATTAACAATTACCGCGCGACGTTGCGTTATAAATCGATTAGCCGGCGGTGGACGGTCGGTAGACCGGGTAGAATCCGAGGAGGAGTCGCGGCAGGTAGAGGCGATAGAGATATGGACGAGGAGAAAGCAAGGAAAAAAGACCGCTAGCTAAGGCAACACCGCGGTGGTGGCGGGCAAAAGGGGTGAGGTCGACCGGGACTTTTTTGCCCGGTCGGTACCTTGGCTTGGTTCGGTTAGGTTGGCGCGCAGGAGAGTACGTTGCTCGCGGCGGCCACGTCAATTTGTCGAAATTCGTTCCGAATCGTTTTATGTCCGCCACGCCGCGAGACGCGACCCGCTACCATGCGCACACAACGCCTCCACCTTGGCTGCTACCATGTTCGCATCGCGCGCTCTCTCTTTCTCTCTCTCTCTCTTTTCTCTTCTCTTTCTCTTTTTCTCTCTTTTTCTCTTACTCAAACTTTTAGAGAGCCGGGACCCCTCTAAGGTTTCATTGCCGTCTTTGAAATTGTATAACTTCATGGGACGAGACGAGCCGCGAGCTAAAAATCCGTGTCATTGGTCGCTTCCAACAGGCGTTGTCAAACACGTGTAGAAATAAACTTTTATACTGATGTTTAGATTTGTTAGAATGCAAAACCACCGTATTTCAAATTTTTTTTGCTTTTGTTAATTGTGAAAATCTTGCGCTGTAAAAAATGAAGAAAATTAATGTACATAAGAATCTTTTGTTATAATATTTCAATTGCGTAATTTATTCTATTAGCAATGTCGTTCGCAATAGAATATTTTGTAACATTTGTTTCGAAGTACGTACAAATTAAATATGTTGTTTTGTGAAAATTTATTTTGCTGGATTGTGTATTTAGACTTATATGTAGACTCTTATCATCTCTTGTCCACCTATGCCTTTAAAGAAGTAATTTACATACGACTGCTCGTGCTCGCTACTTTGACAAATTCTAACATAAAATGTTAATGATATGAGTGTAAATTAGAAGTTGATGTAAGCTTCGTTTAACTTCAGAATGACGTCGGCAATATTTGCATAGTCGGAATAAATACGTTCGTTTTCCTCACGTCGCTCTAAGGTTAAATTTTATGTAAGCAATTTAACAATGTAACATAAATGTTAATATCGATTACGAAGCTGCACATTTGCAAAAACTTGTGCATATTTGTGCGCGTATATGTTAGCGTTAGTGTGTCGTTACATGCACTCCCAACGCGTAAATAATTGTTTCCAGATTGTCGCGGAGTTATGATGGACTTTAAACCTCGATGTTAAGGCCCTGCTTGCAATATTGTTGCACCGCCACTGTCCTAATCTTATCTTATCCCCCTAATACCGCGTTGACGCACTTTGTGCGTAACACACGCCTGTACGCGTGCAGAAGAACATTATACGTGTATATCGAACGGTGCGACAATTTCTTCATTTTTTTTCTTATGCCAATTTTAAAAAACCTGCATTGATCTTATTTTTATTATTGCGCAATATTTTTTAATGAATATATTGTTTTATGTTGTCTACTTTTTTTACTAGAAAAAATAGATTAAATTAATTTTATATGAATAACTCATATTGATTTATAATGGTAGCCAAAAACTCTGAGTTGTGTTTTTAGACGAGTGTCTCGATCTATCGCGATCGATGTGAACGTACGGCTAACGTGGACTAACTTAGAAAAAAAAAGTAAAAACACGACTGCTTTCATTATTTAGCGTATTCCACCCATCAAATTTGCAGTTTCTCAACGAACGCGTTTATTATACTATAAGTAACTGGCTGTTATTCACAAGGGGGATACGTTTCGTATTATCGATCGTTCTTCGTCATTGTTTAATTTATCCGCGGATATACTTATGCGGATATACTTACTACGTCAAAGTCTTATATGGGCGGAACAGTTGAACTAGAAAAGAAAAAAAGTGTAGTATTATAGAAATTGACCATCTTTTATTGTGTTCCACATGGATGGATAAAATTAAATCATTTACGCAATACAAATGATAACAAAATGATATATATTGCAAACGCAATTAATATGATAGAAAATTATTTACCACGAGGAACATATAGTAACAATAAATTTACATAAAAATATAATCAACATCTTGGAATGAGAACAAAAAATATTGTAGCTCAAAGATAAAGTGTGTTCACAACATTTTCTCGCGTAACAAAATGAGGGGAGAGCGACTCCTAGTTCTCGCACGAAGGCGTCGGAATCATTTTTTCCACGCGGATGGCAGAAGAGTCTGCTGCTTTTCGGTTAAGCACTTCACGCTGGATTTCGCTTCTTCTGCCACCACGGTTGTCCGAGTTAATTGCGTCCTCGTAGCGCTAACAGGCGGCCCACCTCGTCGGTCACGCGCGGATAAGAGAAAAACGCAACGCGGATAAGAGAAAAACGCACGGCCGGTCTACCGCCGCGCGGACGGAACTTTGTGTCGATCCGGATCGCTTTTTCACACGGACCACGCCTCGACGATTCGAGAAACGCTATTTACGGACATCCGGCAGACGGACATTCAGAATACTCGTAAAGAGAGCTCTTCGGTGTAGGAATCAAGTCCGCAACTAGCGTGCCATTCTATCGTTCTAAGCTTTTTGCTGTCGCAAAAAAAAGGCGCGTTGATATCTTTTTACGTTCGTAGCGTAGCGCCTACTAATTACTGATGTCGATTAATTACACCAAGAATGTCGAGTTGGTTCTGCCACGAGATTTTCGCGCCTCCTTTCGCAAGCACACGATGCTCGTTATATAATATCGCGAACATCGGATAATAATTTATCGTCTCTTCGCAGAAACGAATCGGGTCCGCCGGCCAGAAGCTCGAAAGAGTGCGGCCTTAATTAACATGCCTACCGAGAGCGGCGCTGCTTTGCGAAACGACTGCGCGATTTAGTCCCGTTCGTGCGCTTCGTTAGCGTAATATCTGCCGTTCGCGGTTTTGCTCGCCTATGCGTAATATTCGTTATCTTTAAACGTATTCTCTCGCTTCTTCTTTCAGACACCCCCTGTTCCCGCTTCTCGCACTCATATTTGAAAAGTGCGAATTGGCAACGTGTACGCCGCGTGAACCCGGTGTAGCGGGCGGCGACGTCTGCTCGTCAGAAAGCTTCAACGAGGACATTGCAGTTTTTTCAAAACAGGTGAGTTTACAGAAAACAGTTAACTTTAAAAAATGATCATTTACGATATGAATACGATTGAACTTAGCTTGCGGTACAAAAATAACAAAAAGTTTCTAAGCGGTTAATAAATAATAATTACGGGGCGCTTTTTTTTGACAAAATTCTGCCGTTTTATTCGCCGAACTGTCGCGCAATTCTTCCGTGAGAGAATGTCCCGAAGCGATTCGGGAGTATTCGCATGAGTCACGAGGGCGCGCGGTTCGTCTTGAAACAGTAGATTCACGCACGAGAACTTCGCTGTCTTAGGCCATAGAGGAGAAGAGCCCTGCCTATCCGTGGGACTTATTTTTAGGATTACCGTTGAGAAGGCCCAGGCTCTGGGTATACGGACTCTGCTAGCAACGAGGCTCACTCGACCGTTCGGGCGCGTGAGCGCGTTTTTTCCTTTCCCTTGCTTCCTATTTTTTCTTTCCCTCTAGTGGCTCACCTGAGGCAGGTCCCCCCAAGGACACGCGTAGGTAACTCGAGAGCCTACGGGGCCACATGCCGTGAAACGATTTGGACCTTTTAAAACATACCATTTCGTCGTCTGCGTGCCGAATCGCGCACGTAGGTCCGCTCGAAAGTCTTAGAAGCTTAGGTCGAAGCGCGCGTTTCCGCGTGCTTTCTAAAGACAATTTGGCCGCTACGAACATTTGCATCGATAACGCGATATTCGAGAACTAGAACGGCTAATGTTATTCCGTGGCTGTAAAGCAGGTGAACGACGATTCCATATCGGTAGGTGTCACATTTCCTCCCTGCTATTTTTGTGCCGCAAAGTGACATTGGTCTTCTTTGAAAATATCGAACTAATTAATAATTTACGTGGCTAAGCGTATTAAACTTTACATATATAATTTGCATATATATATATCTTATAGGTGTTGAAGATTCTGCATTTAAATAAGAGTTGAAAGCAATATTTTGGATTGAGCAATAATGAGAAATTTATTCGGTTCTGTCTTGTGTTTTTTTTTTTCATAATTTTGTAGAATTTTAACGGCAGCACATTAAGCCGAGGCGATAGAACGGGTAATAAAAATGTTATCGTGCTCGTTTGCTTATGGTGAACCTATGCAAACGAATTCAGCACATTTAGATTGAGAGGTCTATCGACTGCACCGTTAGATAGCTATAATCCTTCCACAGTTATTTTCATATAGCATTATGCGTTCGACCGTCGGTATACAGTAGCATTTCGTATCACACGTTAATTAAAATTCCTAACCGAGGTAACAGATAACGCCTTTTAAGAGTATCATTCTGCAGTGGAGTACAATAGATACGCGATTGCAAGAATTTTCGCGAATGCTTTACGTCACGCGATTGCGTTCGTGCGTCACTGCTGCTGAAAGAGAAAAAAAATTCGTCTTACGTCTAAATATAGGGTGTCGGTAATACGGTAGCAACGCTATGCCGAGATAACGATAAGAATTAAGCTCCGGCGCGAGGTAGGATAAGGTAGGCTGTATACATTGTTCTGCCGCGTTGCTGCCAAAAAGTTCCAGGCGATAACGCTCCAAATTTTCGCCGTATCTAGATTCCTGAAATAATTAAACGTTGCCTTTTTTTTGAAAATATTATTTTAAATACGAAATGTTTCTCGCTTCTCGATGCGCATAGCACGGCGAAATTTGCGAAATTGCGAATCCCGCGTTTCTGTTATTTATCTACGAGCGCGTCGACGTTATTACACCGGTACACCTTCGAAGATTCCGCCGGCGTTATGAAACTGACATGACATTTGCATCTTAATAAGGCACGCTATAAGGTACATTTCAAAACGCGCACCGAAATATAATGCTCATGACTACGGACGTTTATTTCGCAATGATGCTACGTGTCTTTTATTTAAATATTTTCCTTTTTTTCTCTTAGCTATGCGGTGAATTCGACCATAATTAAATTTCTCTGTATTCCGAGGTGAAAATTAATAGTCAAGCATTCCTTTCTTTATATTCTGTTTTAATAAATCTGAAGTTAATGATAACAAGTAAGAAATTAAATGATAATATAATGTGATTAACAGAAAGTGTTGCATTTTATCACGTCTTTGTTTCGAGTGTCTGGAGTCATTGTATAAAATCTACGTTACTTGAGATATTTACGATTAGTTTATATCTTAACTGATTATTATCTTTATAAGAGATATTCTGGTGTTCTTTTTACGAATAATACGTTAATTTTTGCTTAAATTATTTATCAAAATAATTTGAGAAATATTCGTAATTTTATGTTATCATGATTTGCAGCATAATTTTGCAAAGATTTAAAGAATACATTTTACATTTTACATTTTAAATTGATTATTCATAAGAGACTCAGTCCAGGTCTCTGTTTTAACTTACATTGATCATACAATTGGTTCTCCCTTCTCTGCACACATTCGAATACCAATAAAATCGCGTATCTGAAATTCGCGACTAGTGGCGGCTTAACGCGCCGCAGAAGGCCATTCGCGTCCATCGTCACGTACATATTCGCGTTAATTCCGAGATTACGACTGCGTACCGGAGTAGATAAACAAATTATGTTCGGCGGATAATAGTCTCCGTCGCGAATCCTCTCGAATATATCGTCGCGCGTCGATATGAAGTCACGCGCGCCACATGGACGGATTTTTGTTTGCGCGCTATCGTGCGTTCGAGCGATCGCGCTAATTCGAGATTGGAATATTTGACTGTCAAATTAAATTGGACGCACATTCTTCCGTTCTCTATCGATCACGATAGCCTTCTCTATCAGAAATATCGAACACTTGCAGCATGAATGTCAAATGTCCAGTATAGTTACTTGTAACTTCTTTTATACGAGAGTGCATCGCGCGTCGGATGCACTATACATTCATTCAACATATCAACACTTCGCCAGCATCGATATTCAAGCAAGCATTGCCTTTGAAGGCCGTCACTAGGCGCGTAGATCTCTCACACGCGACGATGAACGTCGGCAGATAAGCAGGTGACAATCCTCTTGCGGCGGTTTTTGAGGCGTGCCATGCGAGACGTGCTCTCTCTCGTACCCTTCTGTGTCCCCCTCTCCCCCGTGTGTTGGTACCGCCGCGGCGATAGGGCCGAATCACAAAAGGGCCGCACGCTGCGCGCGGGATTATTTCGCGTTTCGTTGCGTGTCGTACCATGCGTGCGTGCGTGCACACATGCGTTATGGCCGCTGCAAGACGCAACGCATGCGTGATCCTCAGTCGGGGCCCGACTACAGCGACCGTCGAGTCGTGAGAAGCGCCGAAGCGTGGAGAGTCGAGCCAGCGATGGCAATGGGAGGGAGTCGGAGGGGTACGGGATGAGAGAGAGAGAGAGAAAGAGAGAGAAAGAGGGGAAAGAGCTGCTCATTTTCTGCCATTGTAAATTGATCTATTCAATGGGTCCACTATTATCCCCCCCTTTATGGGTCCCCTCCCCCCTGCGGTCCACGCATCGTGTGCCCTATGGGGCCGCGATGCTCCAGTCTTCCGTACCCCCCTTCTGCCCTTTTGCGTTCGCTCTCTCTCCTCCCCTTGCGCTCGTCGGAAACCCCTCACCATCTTCTTCTCCCTTCGGTTCGCGCGTATACTCCGCTGCCTTCGACGTCGTTGTCTGGCTGCAACGTGCCATCGGTCGTATCCCGCTGCGCCGCGTTGCGCCGTGCCTTTGTTGCGCCTTTTTTTTCATCCGCCAAAAGAGGCATCTCGCTTTTTTTCGCGATCATCCTCGGCGACTGCTTCGAAAAAATTACTCGCGCTTCGTCGCCTTCGTCGGTGGCGCATTATCTTTTTAAATCCGACCGGTCAAATGAGCGTCGCGATGCTCGCTTAACTGTCCTTGTGTGCAAAGACTTCTCAGCTATTTACAAAGATATAAATTTAACATTTGTTATACGAGAAATGATTATTAATGACTAATTGTAATAACACAGATCTACTTAAAATTAATATATTACTGGTGGTGCTATTTGGCAGAGATTTCGACTGAGAGGCGACTGTTCAATATACATGTGTATATACAAGCCTTAGAACGCGATTTATTCATGTTAAATTAATTCTTTGACAAACTTAACTATTTAATATGTGCATTGCAAATGTACAAGTATGATATATTGATTCTATTAGCCACGAGTAGAACGTATTCCGTATCCCAGTAGTGTAATAGCATTTTGAACAATGAGTCGAAACTGCCAAAGCGGTGAATACAGAGACGTGGGCGTGCGTGCACTCACGACGTCGCGATTCGTCGTGTTCACAGACCCACCGAAAGAACCAAGCGAGAGAGAAGAAGGATCTTATCGGGATTTATTGGTACAATTAGGATGCACCTCCGGGAATATTAAGCCCTCATAAAATGCCACCCCCGCGTTGATGCGCTGCCTAATGGCGACTACGAGACAAACGCGTTTAGCTTGAACATAAGTTCTTTCTTCCGTCTCCGACATTCATTCACTTTTTTTCTGTTGGGCTGCACGAGTCGAAAAAACTTGATGTTTAAAAGATGCTGTAAATGCTACATTCATAACATTATTTTTACATTGAGATATGAAAATAATGTCTCTATATGTTCGCGATGTAAAAAACAGTGCAAATATTTTTTCCATTCTTTTTTTATGTATATAAATGTTACTTAAAAGAGTAGAATATTTTTTACAAAGCAAGTTGATCAACAAAGCATGTTAATCCTCTTAAAGAGTCATTACGAGAAACGGTATTCCATCGCGATGCCTCGGTTTTAACAAAGGCACGAGAGCAATTAACGAAACGAAACCGCATAAGGCTCGCTAGTGCGGATATACTTGCGCTCGGACCGGTTTTCCATTTCCTGACGTCATCGCAATGTCATTGGTGATTTGGACTATAGCTACAACGATCACACCGCTATATAGTAATGGTATAATAAAATTTTAATATATTATAGAAACGTTCTCTCTCTCATGTTAGTCAAATATTAAACTGTAATAAAAAGAAAATAACGTTTAATAAGATTTTTAATTAAAATAGATCGACCCGAGATATTTATTAATAAATTTGTAGTCGAGAGAAATTACATTACTTTAATGTTAAATACATTTTTTAATTAATTTAAAATTCCGATTTTGATTAATGTAAAGGTAAAAAATAAAATATATACACATGTTGGTATAAATATTTATGAAATATGAAACAAAATCTTATCAAGATTTTAATTCCCTGCAAATTTAAATTTTATGGATTCTATATGTGGAATTGTTTCTTATCAATTTCAGATTTCCTGTTTTAATTGTTTCAACGCCAAGCGTGTCTACACGGTTAATTCTGTTGTTATGAGCCGCGCACCTATTGCCGGCGGTCTTGCCGGGCTACAATTTTGCAATTATCGCATTCTAACATAAATACCTCCTCGTTTTGACGTGTGTTACCACGCGATAGCAATCACGCGGTATCACGCGTTATGTCGGTTCTCTTTCTCCTTTTCACAGCTTAGCACGTCGCTCATGTCGTGTCGTTTGCAAAAACGCCGTGCGGATATTCGTAACATTTAGAGTCATTTATTTGCTATCGCTAATTTAATTGCTGTCGTTTGTATCAAAGCATTAAATTATATTTAGTACTTCAGATGTTCGGGTAGTTTATCATCGTGTCAGTTAGATATATGTGGAAAGTATTTTGAGAGCGGATGACATTTTGCAAACTTGGATATAAAATACAGAAGTAAACTTCACAGAAAGTATTATATCTTTCGATTATGTCACACTGTCTTCACTTTCGAAGAGAGTATTCGAAATACATGAAATATTTATTACGCGAATAGTTAAGATGTGTAAACAAAGATTGATATCTACATTAACATCAATAATGTCTTACACTTTCGATTTAGTACTTTTTAGGTCGCATTAATTAGTATTAATTTAAATAAATGCATTATATTTAAATATTTGTGTATTTGTTGTATGTATTTTTTGTTATTATTTTGGTTTAACCTTTTACACATGATTAAAGATGTCAATCTATCAAACATAGTTCTGAGACATGACAAATTTCTCGACACGACATATAAAAAATTTGAAAAGTTTTGAAGTAAAAGGCATTATTGATGCCTGCTGCGTATACTTGGCGAAAAAAAGTTTTAGATTTCTTACATTTTTTGCGTACACTTGAAAGTCGAAGTCAGGTCTAACATTGTGTAGAATGCTTTCCCTTCAAGGTTACTAAACCTATTTGCATGCAACAAAAAATTATTATGTTAGTTATCTTAGCATGCTTAATTTTTGTAAAACTGGAAATAATCCTTGAATGCTTGGGCTTTGAAAATTTTTGGAAATTTTTGTTTAATAAATTTATTGTTTTTTGCAAGCGTGAAATTACTTTTTCACAAGTGTAACAAAATCTATTGTTCGCAATCTGTTATCCTCCTCTATTAGAAATCTATCTTCTATAAGTAGTTTTGTCGTATTTGAGAGCATATTCTCCTTCTTTCGTTACGCACGATTTTACTTTCTATATCCGAGGGTTCGTGTCCAAACCGAATTCTGGATTTCGGAGAAAGTGAAAGTTATTGCTCTGGAAGACTTCTACAGTAATATTTTGTCGTCCATGTGCGTTATTATTTTTGTAATTATTAAAAATTGCGACAGTAATGCCAAATGTTAATTGAGATAGCATTGTTGAAGAATACTATATATGTATATTGTGATGCTTCATCTTACAATTAATTGATTTTTATTTGAGATAAAAATATGAAAAAGATTACTTTTATTTTTTTTATATAAGAAATTATAGCTGTAATTATATATATATATAAATAATAAGATATAAAATTAATTAGAAAGTTTATGTAAATTAATGTAGTTATTTATTTTGATTTATTAATTAATAAGCTAATATAATAATTTTTTAAAGCGTAACAAATCAATTATATTGATTAGAGAAAAAGATAATTAAATATAAAAATTAATTAATTCGAATAAGAGAAAATATATTAAAAAAGGTTGTGTAGAATAATTAAGAAAAAATACATTAAAAAGTAGATGAAAACAACTAGACAATTTTTCATTCATATCATATGTTGAGACACATATTTTGACCTGCATAGAATTTTCGAATTGTTGAAAAGGGGAAAAGTTTGAAGGGCTTAGAAGGGTTTGAGAAGGTGGCAGTAATAACAGAAGCAAGACAGCAGCAATAGCAGTAGCAACAGCAGCAGCCTCCAAAGCAGCTGCTTCGTATATCTCTCGGCAGGATCGGCTACACCACGAAAGGCTTAACGCTAACGTTCGCAATACATGTGCACGCGTATTTCCCTCCATGTGGTGCACGTACGTGCGTATGAGGTCGCCCCCGAACAGATATCCCGCGTGCCGGAACGAAAGCATTCTCTAAATATTATTGCACAATATTTTTATCGCCTTCACCGCGCTGAGTTATGCGCCCGACAGCTAGCAAATGCTGACGTTTCTATACGCATCTATCGATGTTTGTTTTCTTCTCGAATATTCTCGCGCGAGCGGTCGATTTCCTACGCCACGCTATCATATATTTCTTCTTCTACAGGATTTTGCATTTCGTTGTCACTGTTTCACTATTGCAATAAATTGTTTTCAGTACTGTTTTGTACACTTATAAATAAATTTTTTGTGCTATAAACTAGGTGAAACGCTGCGCACTCATTATCGAGTTAAACGCTGGCTAACTTTTTTTTCTTTTTCTCAACATTACTCTCTCGAACGGCCGAATGGCTCTTTTTACGCCATGGGCTGCTGCCAACTTTCTTACAAATGCGTCAGCACGTGCTAGTGCATGAAGGACTGTCGGGAGAAACGATGCAATTGTACCGTTTTGGGAAAAACGATGTGCAAAGAACCACGAGAAGTGGCGCGGAGAGGAGAAGAGGAGGCAGCTGGGTAGAAAACAGAGCGGACTGTTTACAATTTGTAATCTTGCCTACCTGCATGGCGCTATCTCGTCGCTCGGGAACCGTCGAAAAAGCACGATGACAGGGCAGCGCAAGAACTAGTCCTCTCTTTCTACCCTCCCCGTACGAACAGTTGACAGTATTTTTGTCGCACGAGACGCCTTCATTACCTATACACTGGAACAGAAGAGCTCGAAGACTCCCATTCAGAATTCCGGCTCATGAATACGCGCTCTTGCCTGGGAATTTATGCGTGCGGACAATATTTCATTATCCAGTCTCTTTCTTTCATAGAAGACGCTCCTGACTAAATCTCACGTTTCTTGACTCCTCGGATACTCGACACCGTAAGAAAAGTTATTTTTTCTTCAAGAGATGCCTCGTTGTGTCTTTAGGACTGTTCACATATTCATTAAGTAATAGCATTCCGAGAATGTTGCATTAATTTTTTATGAAATAAAAATAAAAGAAGGGTAAAAAAATTGTACGAAACAATGTATATTTATTTGGTAATTAATTTATTATGATATAGCCGGCATTTTCTTTCTCAGCGACAAAAATAATTGGCCCCGTGGAGAGCTAACAATATTTCGCATAAGATCTGATCTTATCGTTCGATCTGACGTCGAAAAGCATAGCTCGCCTGTCTCGTGGATTTCACGAGATCGAACACCGTCACCAACGAGATTTGTTTCGCCGTTCTTCCTTCCATATCTTTCGTTGAGAAATCCGAATGCCAATTCAGAAGTAGTTCTGTTTCCGATCGGCATTGCGCGCGGCGCCGTGAAAATGCCTGAGAATTTCAATACCCTCTGCTCCTCCATTGCTGTCTGCTTTCTCGATTTGCCGCCGGGATTCCATCGCGTTCCCCGACGTGTTTCCGTTTCTGTACGTACGAATTGAACAGTGGGAGTCCAATTAAGAGGAAGCACGCGAAGAAAATCGCTTAGAGAAAGAGGTGGGAAGAGACGTGAGGGAGGGGGAGGGGGGGGAGGGAGGGTGGAGGCCAGCGTGGTGGATGCTACGTGGCGCGGGGTTTGGCAGTACCTATATGTATTATCTTTATACATATATGTATGTGCGTCGCGATACGATCGTCTGTGTAGTTTTAATACTGCAATTATGCCGGATCCAATTATTAACGCTCTTACGTGTGTGTCTGTGTGTTACAGATCAGACAAGAGAAGCCGTACTACATTGCGGACCCGGAGGTGGACTCCCTGGTGAGTATTTTCTTATTTATCCAATTGTATACGCAGGAGTGAGACGTTCGTTCTGTGTCTCGATATCGTTCATCTACAGCGCATACATAATTTCGTCCGAAGCTCGGCACATCGGACGTCCCTAATCGTCAATTTCTCCTCCGTGATCGCGTTTATGCGTATTGCGATTCGCGCGAATATAAACGCGAGACTCGCGAAACATCGTTTCGCCGAGACATCGACGGTTAATTACGGGACCAATTAAGCCGAGAAAAGGAGCGGACCGCGTTATCCGATCTAGCGACGTGTAAATAGCGAAAAGTTTCGTAGTCGCGTTTCGTCCTCCCTGACGGCTCCGGCGCGCGTCTAATCGCTCAATTTCATCGGGCGATCGTCCGTCGAGATACCCAAATACGGTCGGCCGGCCTCAACGACGAAATAACGAGCCAGGAAGTAAGCTAACGACGCGCGAGGCAGCGCCAGTGTTCCACATTTTTTTCTCGCAGAAACTGGAATAATTAACGGAATGGCGTTATCGTTGCGCGCTTCCATTCGTCGTTATTCCGGTCGAAACAGAGATTCGGAGGATGGATTATTTCACGAGGACGGATACATTTGTTATGAGATAATTAAATGATAAAGCAGCGTGTTCCGCTGACCAGAACAAACCTTCATGTTGCAACTCTCTATTATTTACTAAACATAATTGAAATTGCGTAATTTTTGTAATTCATATCTTGCTTTCATTAAGAGATCGTAGAAATGAGTATGTAATTTTATTTTTATTAAATGTCTGTATCTATGGGATACAATATGGTTCGATCTGTCGGGTAGATAGATATACAGTATTGTACCGGAAGGCTGATGTGACGTGATTGCCAGACATAATTCATGACGGGGTAATTAAATGTCGCAGTAACGTGCGGTAATATTGTCTTACGCTATTGTTTTTTCGGATGGTTGTACGACCATTTCTTTCAAAGTTTCAGTGTGACTGTCGAAAGACATGCAGGAAGAAATATTTTAGGTGACCCTTTGCGTTCTTCGATCGAGATAACTGAGTGGACTTTTTAAATAACTCCGAGTGTGTATTTGTTGGACGAGAAAGCGTACACGCCGGCGTAGCGGCCTTGCCGTGACGGTTAGAATGACTTAGGATTGCCGTACTATTTTAGGTACCTTGAGAAGTCCTTGTCGCTTCTGACCTGCTCTTCTTTCATCTATTCTATTCTAAACAGTTTTTCACAGGAATTATATCAAGTCCTTGGAGAAGTGTGTTGTGCTTGGCAAACTTGGAATAATTTTTTTTTTCTAAATTCATGTCTATTGCATTGATTTTCTCATGCTCCAATATTAATTTTGCAGAACTAGTTAGTATTTTTGCTACGTTATTTTTCTGAAGTTATTTTTAGTTTTCCATGGATAATTCTTTTTTAAATATACAAGCGCATTTTTCGAAATAAACATATATTAAGCAAACTGCTGCTCTGCTTTTGATTTTTTATTTGGGAGCACGGGAGGCAGAAAGGAATGCATTTCGTCGACCCTGTTCTCGCACTGTTGCCCACAATTTTTCGAAACGTCACGTCCGTTACCTGGCTTGTCACGACCGCATTGAGTCACAAATATTCGCAAGGTGGCAACTTGCATCTCTCGTCGCTCTTGTCGACAACTGTCGACTGATCCTATTTAAACATAGGAATAGATGCAGAAATCTGAAAACGGTTTTGTTAGTTTATGCGATAATAAGGCTAAAAAAATAACGACTCTAACAATGGTAATGTAAAAAAATAGTTGAAACAAACATTAATATATTGTAACTATTATACTAGAATGTCTTCTTGTAATTTTTTGAAAATTTTTCATGTTTACTGCTAACCTCCGACCGCAGTACAAATTACTTAAAAATAAATTTTACAGATGATTTATGTCTTGACTCTTGCGCCGCGAGATCGGAAGTAAGTATCATCGACGTCTGCGGCCGTTGTCCTTCGCGCGTAGCTCTCGGCTATCTCCGGTGTGCATTTGCAAAAAGCCGTTCCTGGCAGGTGTTACAGGTAGTAAATCGAAAGAGTTAAATGGGCTTGGCGGATAAAAATTTTTGAATCGTCTACTACTACTAGTGCGTCCCAGCCTGCCGCGGCGCAGCATTAGACGAACAAAGCTCCTTAGGACTGGTGCATTCGCTATTGCACTCGCCCGTCGGTGCGGTTACCGTGCTGCAGTTGGTTACCGGTTGCCGTAGGAAGGCCGGCGGAAGGTGGCGTGGCTTCATTACGTCCGTGGCAAATCGCAATCTACGAGCAATGAGCTTCTATCGTAAAGAAGAGGCACGTAACGTTCGCGGTTTTTGCTTCGTCCACTTCACCCGCCGTTCTTCCATCCTTTCGGCTCTCGTCTTCTTCCTTCTCGGTTCTTTCGTACTCCGGCGTTCTTTCCTCCTCCTAATCCGCCGGCCGTTTTTCTTCCACCGCGTTCTCTATCTCCGGGAGAAAGAGCCTCCTCCTGGGCCTCCCGGCCGCCAATCGAGCGGAGCTTCTTGCCGATAATTTCGCAGAACGGAAAAGTCACCGAGTGAGATTGCTTTCCGAGCGAAGGACTCTCGAGAGCAGCGTGGTTCCGCCGTTTTCTTCGTCAGTTGTTAGCGGTCAGCAAGCACGGTCAAGAGACCGTTTCACTGAGATCCTCTTCTCCGGAATTTCCATTACGCACGGTCGAGCGAGCGTGAAAGGGCTCGAAATGCGGCAAATTCGGCGCAGTTGTGACTCGCTACTCCGCCGTATAGAAACAGTGCGGACAGGAAAAACTCAGAATAGAATCGGACCTTGACATTCCAACATTGCCGACTAATACAAATAAACTTCTTATAAAGGATTTATAGAGACTGCTACAAAAAATATAATTAAATGGTATTAAAAAAATAATGTCATTTCCAAATGGGATGGAGATAATTTATTGAAGTTTAATTTTTTGCGGCGCAAATTACATACATTTATAAGGTAAATAAGACGTAATGATATGCCTATTGAAAAAATCTGTTTTAAGATGGAACAAACTCATGAGAGTCTCTCCGACGCTCTCTCAGACGGTCCCGCGTGCGTTTCGATAAATCGCTGGGAATTTCCCGATGAAGTTAAACGGGGAAATTGCGCGAGGAGACACCACGTGGGCGGACGGACGGAACAACGTCCCGGTTTCTTGGTGCGTGTCGTAAATAATTCGAGGGAAGGAAAAGACGCGGCGAGACGCGTCGTCTTTCGTCCAGCGGAAGGTGGCAAAGCGAGCAACGCGAGGCGACGGGCCACAAAATTGTATGCGCGCGCGAAAGGAAGACTTGTATGGCGAAGAAAGACGCGGGAAAGCAGGGACGAGGAGGAAGAGGGCATAATCCTCGCTCTCTCTCTCCATACACGCGCTTAAATAAAATTCTCATTAGCATAAGCGAGAAATGAGCCAATGAGATGCTAATTGCCGGTCTTGCGTTTGGAGAATAATTATTATTGCGAGGGCATTCTACTCTCCGGCTGGACGTTGGAACTGCCTTCGTGATTTACTCATGGCGCGGCGCGGCCTGGTGCATGCCGGAGCGCGGCAAGAAGCGATATTAGCTCGGTTATTAATTTTTCACATATTAATTGTCATGCGCGCTCCGTGATCTCCCGCTGTTTCTTGCGCAACGCGACAACTCGGTCGTCGTTAATGGCAAAGATCTTGTTTCGCAAATTCCCCCTCGTAAATCCGCGGCGGTGCCGAATCCGCTTGAGACGGTAAATACGATATCGAGGTGAAATCTTTTCTTATCGCGAGATTAATTTCAAGCTATATTGCGTCAATATATTGCGCCGCGGATGTCAAAAAGTGTTCTCTGTTTTTCGTGAAATTGCCCGCAATCTAAATCATTCGTTGAAGCGCCGCTGTTTCGCTAGCACGATAAAATACACGATGTTTTTACATATTGCGTCAAATTTATTTTACATTTATATGCAACCAAATTTTTTTTATTTTTGTTTCTGCAGAAATTTTTAAATCGCTACGCATACGTTATACGAATGCCATTGTATATTTCAAAGTTCAAAATGTTCTGTGATAAAAAATCCAGGAGACTCATTAATCAATGGACTTCTGGTCTCGACGTTTGCGATAAAACAAAGACATATTTTATATTTTATACAGCATTTCACGCTTACAATTAAGTATACTAATATGTTGTGCAAATAGTTTTTTATGTTCCGTCATCTTTTCCGTCATCTTTGCGCATCATGAATAGGATTACATAGATTTTACGTAAGATTACAGTCGCGTTGCGTTATTTCATTGTGATGGATAGATAGATGATCGAAGAATTAAGTAAAATTGCATAGGGTATTTTGAATTGATATAAAATTGTGGTAATGGAAAGTCCAGAATACACGACGCAGCAAATAGTAGCGCAGAAGATTGACGGGTGAAACCTTTAACATCCTTCTCGTCGCATGCGTGTCGTCGCGCCTTCAGCATGCAATTAGCGCGTGTGTTTCGAAGACTCGGTCGCCGCGAGCAACATTATCGCTGATTATTGCAATTTTGTTGCAACCTCCGCCGTCTCGCCGCGGCTGTCGATATTGCTGAAGGATCTCGTCGGCAGTCATTAGCGCGACTTTCTCGCAATTTCCGTACGGCACGACTAGGGAGAGTGTCGACGGGTCTTCGTTGATTGAATCACCGACGGTGCTGTTCGTTATTTAATACCGGGCTCGTTCGGACCGCGCGCGTTTGAATCTTTCATCGCTAACAACTCTCAGAGCGGCGCTGAAAGCAGTAATCGTAATCGCGTGGTTAAGCGTTTTATGACTGCGTGTATTATATGTGTATTACGCGTCGAGACTTGCGAGCGCGAAGCTGTGCGAACGTGCATTTGTATTTCGGATGTGCATCGGTGTGATCGCGCACGGTGCCCCCGCGCGAGTATCGCGCATTCCTCGAGTCTCTCGTCGAATTTCATGGTATTTTCCTGGAGCCTCCTCCTCCGCCTCTCCTTCTCT